ACACACACACACACACACACACACACACACACACACACACACACAGAGGGAAGGCGGAGGGGGGGGGGGGGGGGGCAGCCAGGCTGACTCAGAGTAACAGAAAGACGGAGGAAGACGTGTTGACGTGAACGGAAATCACCAGAGACAGAGGTGCGGCCAGCCGGAATCGCTTTCTGTCGTTTACACTTGCTGGTCGACACACACACACACACACACACACACACACACACACACACACACAGAGGGAAGGCGGAGGTGGGTGGGGGGGGGGCAGCCAGGCTGACTCAGAGTAACAGAAAGACGGAGGAAGACGTGTTGACGTGAACGGAAATCACCAGAGACAGAGGTGCGGCCAGCCGGAATCGCTTTCTGTCGTTTACACTTGCTGGTCGACACACACACACAGACACACACACGCACAACGCGCACACAGGAGAGGCCTGCCGCCTTGGCAAGCGCAATCGGCGAGGCTGTTGTTGTTGTTTTAAAGCGTCGCAGCGCGTGCATAAATTCTCATCAATATTCATGCGCATGAACCTGGCGCGCTGGTTTATTCATGCCGGGTTTGCGCGTACAAGAGTGACAGAGGCGGAGGGAGAGAGCGAGGAGGGGCGAGGAAAAAAAAGAGAAAGCAATGGATGGGGGAGGTTAGGTTGTGTGTGTGCGTGAGTGTGTGTGTGTGTGTTTGGTGAAGGGGGGTGGGGGGGGGGCTTAAGAGACAAAAACCACCACCGACTTATTTGCACTCTGCCCAGGCGTGTGTGTTGTTGACACACATTCTCACACACACACACACACACACACACACACACACACACACACACACACACACACACACACCCTGCCCCCACCCCGCAATTCAGCCGGGTTACGCCAGTTCAGCATGCAGTAATTACAACTGCCACTTCGGGGCAGCATTTACATAACCTTAACCCTAACCTGCCCTCCACACACCTTTACCCTGCAGGCAGGCCGAGAGGGTGCAGCCATTCAAGAGAAAGGAGGGAGGAGGCTGAGTGAGCAAATGCGACAGGCATTTGTGGTGCGCTAACCATGCGAGGCCACGTTGGCGCTTTTGATAATGGGGCCTGACTAGGTTGAGAGGCTCGAAGAGAGCTGACGACAATGAGCAAACTCGGAAGACTCCCACGTCCAACACATTCCAATGGAGGATGACTTGGTTTGATTTTCTTCCCCGAAGGAAGTCATGGAAATGCATTGGAACCTTAACAAAAGACAAACATTGCAGTTCGCAAACAGTCTTGGGCATCAGTTCTGGCTCAAAGTGGAAATGTTGTTTGCTCATAGTTGACATGCAGATATGTCAAGTGACGCCTGGTAAAACTTGCTTAATTTGTTCCTTGATCACGCGCTTTCCCAACTGAAATAAAATGCCATTTTTCCGTTCTAGACTCCACCCCAAAATGTTATCGCACTTTCTCCCTCACTGCGCTGCTCATTGTGGGATGCACACCCTGGCCAACTGGGGGCAGTATAGGACGAGCAAACTGTACTGGAGTCTCAGCTCCTCTCTCGGGTTCTAAGTATGGAAGTAATCGTCGTTCCTCCTGGAGGATAAAGAATATCTGCCTGCGGGCATTGTGATACGGCCTGTCTATGTGTGTTGCTGCACCATTTGTGTTCAGATCGCCAACGCTTGAAGGGTAACAACATCGCCACATGGTAATTATTAGCATACAGAGTTTCCAATTTAAGTCTGCATTCAGGTAGATGAGGCTACGTCGTCGTTTTCAATGCACAATGTGTAATTCTCTTTGTTTTGACAGTAACCTTCAGCTGAGTGTGGCAAATTGATGCTTGTTATGAAGCGAGTCGAGTCACCTGCCACCGTACGGCAGTCCTCTCAATTTTACGTTCAAAGTCAAGGCATGAAAAAAAACATAAATAAAATGGTCGATGAATGGCTTGTATCTCAAAACCCTTCAGTCAGGCCGATGTATCTTTTAGTTTTTTAGCTCTAAATTAGCCCTTAGTGTGTCTCCCAAGAAAGTGAAGAGTGCAAGTGACTGTGCCGTCAGGCAACCCTGGCAAAGTGTCACGGTTCCAGCGGCGTCGGGCGAGCTCTGGGCTGGACGCGTGCCGCCAGGTACTGCTTTTACTGAATTGTTTCTTTTGAAGCGCTGTAAATGCTCCGCTTTGAGCCAGATTTGGTGGATATAACAACGTCGCCAACTACAAGTCACGTGGGACAGAACAAGAGCCTGCAATCCTTTCGACAGACGCACTGACATCATCGCAGTCATAGAGACGGTTTTGGCTTACTTCGAGGACGTGGAACTTATTTTAATTGCGTTAAAAGGGTGAGGCGAGAGTTGCTCTTCACAAATATTAATGTGTTCCTCTGGAGTCCAACATTGCATTTTATGAAATAAAAACAGCGATTCTCGGTCATTCGTGCCATGTTTCTCAATCATCTTTCTTCGAAGACTCCTCCAAAATGATTGATTAAGAGCTCCACAATTGATCCGATTTTTCTCTTAACACAACGCTGGCATGCGGGATGCTGCCACAACTTCCTTACAAAAACACAACATCCGCAATCATAATTGCAGGGCGAAAAAAAGAGAGCCATTGTAAAACTACCACTGAAGGGGGATATTAGCAGGTTGACCCACCCCTCTATTCTATGCGGGTGTCGTTTATACAGAATGGCAACTTAGAGCTGTCAAAATCGACAGCCCTCATGGCAAAACATACCAAAGGTAGAAAAATTCTGGTTTTTACAGGTAATGAGGAAGGGGCTCTGATATGTCAGACAGTCAACTGCGCTCCCCCGTTACGTGTTGGTGCAGTTTATGCAGATGAGCCAAACACAAATGAAGGAAATGGCGATTTGGAGAGGCAGTAGGAAATGCGGTTTGGCTCCGGCTCTGATACTAACGCAGAACCTGAGAATGTTGGTCTCACTTTTTCCACTATTCCGTGTCAGAGCAATCTATAACGGCAGGGGAAATTGACAAATGCTGGCTTTTAGAGGCGCCACAAAAGGCTGTCCAGAATGAATCCTTTACATGTAACTCGCCATGCTCCCCAGCCCCCTTGCTATTTCAGTCGGTTCAAAGAGACGCCGCTGACAATCTCTGCCTACTACCTGCGATGCTGGAAAATTGCCAAGCTGATGTCGTCCACCGATCCCGTTTCGGTTTTGATCATACAAAAAAAAAAAAAAAAAAAAAAAAAAAAGCCACACAAAAGTGAAAAAGGAGCTTCTGTTACGGATATCATCTCCAAAGGGGAAAACTGCCGGTGTGAGTTTGGGAGACACAAAAGCGAGCAAACTTTGACATCTCAGATGGAAAAACAACATTTGGGGCCAACTTCATCTACCCTTTATGTGTCGTTGCACAAATTAGAAAGGAAATTAGGAAAATGTTTCACAGGAATTGTGAAATGCGGTTCCGTCGCCGCTCTTACACTACCCATAGAAGCTGGAAAATTGCAGGGTTGACTTCGTCCTCACACATTCCGCGTCCAATTGCACACAATAGCGGCACGGCACAGGACAACATCAAAGAATGCATCCTTTACATGTTGCTTGCCATGCTCCCCTGCACCCTTTTGCTAAGGTCAAAGTGAGGGCCCCGACAACCTCCGATTTAAACGCACGTTTATGTCCACATCCGCATTCATATACATGCAAAAGCACTCGCGCAGTAGGCGAGTCAAGAGGTCAAATAACTGCCTGCTGCTTTTTGAAACCAGCTCAGCGTGACTGCAGGAACTAATCCCGCGTGCGCTCTGATCCTCACGTTCACTGTGTGTGTGGTGGGGCTGGGGGTGAGGGTGGACTCCCGCTCCGGGTTGAACGTTCCCAGCCACGACTGCATCTGTGCAGGGAAGACACAAAATGGAGGAGAGGTTTCATTTGGACCGTCCCCCCGCAAAGAAAAAAAAAAACGAGTGCGCTTCCGTTACGGCTCTACCTCTGACGGTAGAAGATTCATGGTTCAACTTCATCCGCCTTGCCCCTCCCTCCGCCCGTGCCCCATTACGTACTGGTGACTTTTATACAGAACACCGACATGAGAAGAAGAAGAAGAAAAAAAAAAGAAATCACGGCTTCACAGGCGGTGTTAAAAGGGCTTCCGTTATGGCTCAGATACTAGTTGACAAGGCGAAAAGATTTCACCCAAAATAGAGGAGAGGTTTCATTTTGCCATTCTAAAAACCTCTCGCACCCCAATTCCATGTTGGTGCCATTTATGCAAAACAGCAACAAAACTGTTGTGAAAGGGGCAAACATAACAGCTCTTTTTGGACATCCTGTGCCGTTTACACAGAAATGCGACGGTAAAAACGGCAGCGCGTAAGGGGCATCTGTTGCAATTAAAAAAGGAAAATTGCTGGGTTGACATAATTGTGTTTCGGAAGGGTTTACACAGAACAGCGACACAAAACAGGGAAAAAGATCTGCTTTTGTGACAACCTTCGATGGCAGATTTCTGGGTGGACTTCGCCGCCCCATGCCTGTTGTTTTAACAGTACACAAGCAGACAAAAGGCCGAGAAAACACCTACTTTTACATGTGAAAGGGGCACCCTAAAAAATTCCCTAAAATTGCATGGCTGGCATTGTCCCCCCTCCATTTTGTGTTGGTGCCGTTCAATCCACAACGCCGACTTGGGAAAAATGTAGAAAATGATGCCTTTTACTGGTAGCGTGACGATTGCATCCATGCAGTCAGGACACATCAAGGATGACAGATTTGATTTGTAAATTCCAAAACCCAAAACAATTGATGTTAGTGGTGTCATCAGAAAAACGCTACTTTTACGGTACCGTTGCCGTTTGCACAGAACAGCAACATGAAGACAAAAGGTAAAATGGCTGTTTGAATGGGGCTACCATTACAATTCTGATATTACCGACAAAGACAGATCATTTCTGGGTCAACTTTGTCCATTGACTAAAAGTCATCAAAAGAAATGCCTTGCATGCACAAGCTATATGAAAGGTGCTTCAGAAATCTCCCAAAAATTGCAGCATTGACTTTGTCCCTCTTTTAATGCAGAACAGCAACGTTGAAGAAAAGGCGTTAAATGGTGGCTTTTACCAGCATCTCTACAAAAAGGACACAAATTAGCGGTTCGGTTTGGACACGGTAAAGGGGCGACTGTTCGGCCCAGGACCAGCCCGTTTGTACGCCGGCCGGTGGGGGAAAATTCAAATATTTTCCCGAGATTCCCGATGGCCTGGGAGCAACATCAAAAACAGTCAACGGGCAGTGTGAGAAGGCTTCACAATAAGAGTTTTGATTTGGACATTCTAAATACAGATTCCATGTTGGTGCTGTTTCGACAGAATAGAACTCAGGAAATAAGACAGCGGAAGGCCATTGCTTTGACAGTTGGTATGAAAGCGGGCATCTATAATGGCTCTGATATTAAGGCAGAACATTTCCCAGTCACCTTTACTGAAAATATTCCCTGCCGGCGTCATCGGAAAGAAGGCGGAAAATGATGGCAGTGTGAAAACTGCATCTGAGCAGGAAGGACACAAAATGGAGGAAAGGTTTGCTTTGGACATTACAAAAAGACTTTGCCCTGCAATTACGTGTCTGCGCCGTACAGTGATATGTGTCAGAGGTTTCTATTCCAATGAAGAGTGACAATTCTCAGGTTGACTTTGCGTTGTGCCGTTTCTATCGACCAGCAAGACAACCGGGCCTAAAATTTGGCATCGATGCAAAATCCTTTACGAATAGGACGCATGGAAGCACTTCCCACTCCACCAGTATCCAGACATGAAGCGGGAAATGATCAGCATCCGTAGTCATGACGTGACACCAGGAAAAAGGGAATCTTTGAAGCCGTATTAAAGAGAGCGAGAGGGGGGAAAAAATTGTAGCGAACACGGCAGACGGCTTCCTCCGGAGAGAATGTGGGAATACTTTTCCTTTTGTCTCATCTCTGGGGGAATGCAGGGAAATGTCAACACACGCACGTGCACGCCCAGACACATGAGTGGGATTTGGAATGGTAGGATGGAGGCGGTGGTAGGGGGAAGAAGTCAGAAGTTTTATGTAACGTAAATCTTTGAGGGGCGGAGGGTGGGGGTGGGGGGGCAGTGTGACACACATGCACAAAAAGAAAGCAGGAACGACGCGCACGGCTCCTTCGTCAGCTATTTATTAACTTCATGTTGCCATGGTTTCCGGGCGCCCTGACCGTCACTGAAAACGCGAGTGTGACCACGGCGTGTTTGCGCAGCGGCCCCCCTCCGCCGTCCGTCCGCGCCGAGCGCCGCTATCCATCAGAATCAACAAACGCCGCCGCCAAGTCTCCAACGCGCCTGCCTGACCTTTGCCGCAATTTCTCTTAAGCCACGCCACGGCGAGGCGAGCACATCAGCAGATTAAGTGTCGAGATGTGATGGAGGGAAGGAACGGGCACGGACAAATCACATCCGTAAACACTTCAACCGCGCTATAGGACCACCCTGTCGGGCCTGATAATGGTTCCCTTGTTGATTCCACTCCCCGCCCCCCCACATTTTTTTTTTTTTTTTGCAGCTTTAAAATTGCAAGGCAAACTAAGGTGCCAATGTGACAAGATATATCTATTTTTAAGTTTCACATAGCAGCATCCCTGTTCACAAGAACCTGTAAAAAGATATGAACATTTAGCAGTACTGTAAATATATGCCTGGCCAGTAGTTGCCACATTAAGTTCACAGCATTAACACAACTTAAGTACACAATATTAGCTCACTACGGTCAGTACAGTAACAGTGTGCTACTGAAGCTGATATAATTATGTAAAGAACCTAGGGTTACCTTTTCTTTTCATAAAGGCACTTTATGAATAAAAGGTGATTGATTGAAGTCCAAAACATTAGTACACAATGTTAAAACGGCAGTGCAGTGTCAGTACACCGCGTTAATACATGGCATTAGCACAAGATGCTAGTACAAGATGTTAGTTCACCACCTGGGTTCCTGATGTCAGTTCACATCAGTTCAAGACGTTAGATCATGACACGAGAGCATGATATCAGCTCATGTTAGCTCACGACGTTGGTTTACTATCTTAGTTTACGCCATTAGTACATCACGTTAGTTCACAGCGGTGGTTCACAGCATCAGTTCACGATGTCAGTTCACGACGTTGGCCTCACAACGTTAGTTCATTCTGTTAGGTCACGCGGTTCGGCCATACCTTTAGCTTACGTTTGGTCATGACTTTAAGTCATGAGATGAGCTCACGACGTTAGTTCATGTTAGCTAATGACGCGAGCTCACGACGCTAGCTCACGACACAAGCTCACAACGCTAGCTCAGCACGCTAGCTCACGATGCTGGCTCACGACATTAGCTCATGTTAGCTAACGATGTGAGCACGTTAGTGCAGCTCCTCCCGTGTTAGCGCAAAGTTTGTACGTGGTGTTACACAGTTTGTATGTGATGTTAGTTCTTGTTCGATCACCATGTCGATTCACAACATAAGCTCACGTTAGTTCACAACCTTTGTTGGCGCGAGATGTTAGAGCACATTAATTCATGAAAATAGTTGACAGTATTTGTTCACGACTACAAAACGTCTGGAAGTGTTATAACATGCATGACAGGCCTTACAAAACCAAGAAACACTTCTCACATGCACACTAATTGCTTTTCCTCTTGTGCAGTATCATAAATGTGAAAAGTGCTTCAGAAGAGAACGTTGAAAAACGCAATCACTATTTTCAAATGTCGTATTTCGGCCCAAAACAGTGTTGGCATGTACACCAACAACAAAATCAAATTTTAATCCGTTAAAAAACAAACAAAGGAATCAGCGCCAAAGATTAATTTGCTCCTTGTTGAAACAAGAAAATAAGTTGTGCCATCTTGAAAACTGTCGAACGAATTAAAAAATAAAAACCAGCAAAACACATTGCCATTTTTTTTTTTGCCATGTTGGCTTTATTTTGGTTGTAAAAAGAGAGAGAAAAATAGGAAAGGAAGAGCTGAGGGACTAGAGTCGGGCCACTCTTAATAGTGATGGAGGCTCAGCCACCGTAACGGCCTGATAAAAAGTTAATTTCAAATGTAACCGGACAAACTCTTTCACGCTGTGTTAGTCAGAAATTTCTCCAACACAAACTGAGCCGAGAAGTGGGCAGAAAATAAAAATAAGACGCGACAATGCTTTTTTTTATGTGTGTGTTTCAGTGAGTTGTGAGTGTTCAAGTTGGACAGACTCTGTGGAGACACGCTGTTCCAGTTAGGCTACGGCTATAGTGTTCATTCAGTCTCTATTTCCGACTGTCAAAGTAAGAGACGTTTCAGCTGTCTGTGGATTCAGAATGCTGAAGCTAAAAACAACAAGCAACATACTTCCCTTGTCACACGTTGCCAATTAATCATGAATCCGATCATCGTTTAACTAATCAGAATCTGCTAACGTCTCCTTGCTTCTTACTGTAGAGTCGGGCATGCCCTTGTACACTATATATGGCTTCACAACAATAGCTTGCCATAATATTTTACAAGGCGCAATGCTAGGACATGTCGTTTCGACAACGTTAAGACGTTCAGTTCACGGAACACAATGCAAGTTTCATGAAGTTAGCACACGACGTTAGCTCACGTTAGTTAACGACGGTAGCTTGCAACATCAGCTCACAATGTTGGTTTTATAACGCTCGCTCACTATGCTAGTGCATGACAGTAGACGATATTAGCACACCACCAGACTGGGCGTTGAAAGCTCGCCAATGCTTGTCACGACATCCGTTCACAACGTTAACATCGGTGCGCAGAATTACGCACTTCATCTTGGATCAAGGCGTTGGTTCACAGTGTTGGTCCAAGCTGTTGGTTCTCAATGTTAACAAATATCATTAGCACAGTGTGTGCTTAATTTACATGAGACGGGATATACCCACCGGATCTCTGAACGGGAGACATCGAATAGAAAATGCTTGTTTCAATGGATGTGTAACTCAGGCGAGTGGTTGCGCAAAGTGGAGGTCAAACGAGATAAATTAACACCCAAAAAACAAATCTCAAAGGCTTTTAGTCTGGACGTGGCCGAGGAACACACACGGAGGAATCATAAATTACATTCAATTTAGTTCTCAAGCTGCACACAGCCCTTCAGTGTTGATTTCTTTAAAGCCACGGTGTCGACACAGGCTTGGAAGACTAATGAGCAACGCGGTAATTATCTCCCGCAATCTCGCTCCCTTCGCGATGTGAAAACATCTCCGTCCAGCCTGCGCCGTCGCCGCCTCTCCTCCCCCTCTCCTCCCGCCAACGCCCCCCCACCCCGCTCACTCCTTGTCTCTTCGTCGAGCGAGGCGCCACCTACCTTCCCCGCTTTCAAAGCTTTTTGAGATTCTTTCAAGTGAGACAGCCTGCAGCGGAGGGGGAGATAAAGGCGCAGCTCTTCATAAATGTGATAGAGGATGCAAAACGGCAGAGTGAAGGGCGAGACAGGTGGAGCGAGACGGAAAAGGCGCGGGGGGGAAATGACGGGGTAGAGAGACGAGAGTGCAAGACAGGTGAATCGTGCAATTCTTTTTTTTTTTTTTTAATGTGCCGTGTGGCGATAGTGAGATATTCTTTTTCACGCGCTGGTGACAAAGATCACTCAGTGAACTTAGTGAGTCCACGACATTAGATGATATGTTAGCTGACAAGGTCAGCTCACAGCGTTAGCTCACAACGTTAGCGCATGACGTTAACCCAGGACTCTACTTCAATTTAAATACACAATAGTGATATGGGACATTACGGTACCAAATGTACTCAGTGTCTGTCTTCAAAAACACAACTTGATTACACACCTAACAACGCAAGAGAATTGAAATCAATACAGGTTTAAAAAAAAAAAAAAGTGTTTAATGGGCGAGAAACCAATTTGATTCACACTCACATTGAGTGCTCACTGAGCGCTCAACACGAAAGACGGCTTTTTGTTGTAGCGTGAACCTCGCTTTCAATTCTCAATCAAAGAAATCCAAAACATTCGAAACCCAAGTGCGCCACTGGGCTTTGTGCGCTGTGCTGTCATATCGCGGGAATGTCAGCTATGCGGACCTTGTGGAATGCCGCCTCCAGGCTTTTCGACTGCACCCTCAAAATGGAAAAGAACACAGCCTCTGTGTGAGCCAGAGGGGGGATCGATCCAATCAAACAGCCTGCTTCCGAACAATACTATTTATCGAATAAAGACAATAGGCAAAACGTCACGTTCGAGGGGCGCACGGGGTGAACAATAGGCTGGAATAAAAGGGAGTTGGATTGTTGTTGTTTGACTGTCTACTCTGCATCAAGGAATGAAGACAATCTAAAGGAATCGGAAAGCGCGCATTCATGCTGCTCATCGTCTCGAGCTGTAGCCGTCAAGTCTCACGTGTGTTTTACACTTGAAACGTCACAGTCAAATGCCACAAGCTGTACAATTTGTTCTGGAAAAATAGGCCTCAAATGTCAAACAAAATTTGAAGGTCAAACCACTGCCACATGAAATTTCAGCAAAACTCGTGAGACCGACTCGATTAGCATTCAAAGGATGAAGCGATGTTATCTGCTCATGTCTTGACCTGATTTCTTTAATATCGAAGACGTGAAGTTGTGAATCCAATCTCTTCAACAACACCGAACGAACATTGTAAATCAACGTCGTGAACCAACGTCGCGAACAAAGATTGTAAACGGACTTTATGAACCGCAGTTGTGAACCGTGGTTCCTCCAGAGTCCTCCATTCGACGCCGAATTGAATCGTTTTATTAAGCGGAGGGAAATATGAACCCCTCGGAAGCCGTGGGAGGCCATTCATTGAAGAAAAAAAAAAAAAAAAAACGAACTGCGAGAAGAGCGTTGTTCACACACGCCATCATGAGTGAGCTCAGACAGGGCTCTTGACACGGATGGTGGTTTTGATCAACCAAATTGGCACTTCGTCAGCCTGGCTAATGTGGGTAAAGTATTCATATCACCTCACCCTGGCGAGATGACTATTTGACAGCGCAAACACCGGGAACAACGGCGCGTCTGCAGCTGCCGTGTTGTTCACCCTTTCAGGGACAGCGGTTACTACAGTGGACAGCTTATCATGTTATCGGGTTCCAGGGGTGCATGAAAGGGTTCAACACAAATCTCAATTATTTACCAACTATTTTGACACATTTTCAATCTATTTGAGCAATCTTAAGAATGATTTTTAAAATATCAGTAATGCTGGTGTAGGGCGGCCCGGTGGTTAGTGTCGACCTCACAGTGCATAGGTTCAATTCCAGCTCTGGCCTCCCTGTGTGGAGTTTGCATGTTCTCCCCAGGCCCGCGTGGGTTTTCTCCGGGTACTCCGGTTTCCTCCCACATTCCAAAAACATGCATGACAAGCTGATTGAACACTCCAAATTGTCCCGAGGTGTGTGTGAGCGTGGATGGTTGTTCGTCTCTGTGTGCCCTGCGTTTGGTTGGCAACCGGTTCAGGGTGTCCCCCGCCTACTGCCCGGAGACGGCTGGGATAAGGTCCAGCACCCCCCGCAGCCCTTGTGAGGATAAGCGGATCAAAAAAAAAAATGGATGGATATATTGGTGTAAAGAGTGAGCATTTGGTAATTTCCAGTGGCTGTGTATCTGTGCTCGTAGAGCCGCGGCGTGTGACGTATCGCGCACATTCTCAACACCGATTGCCTGTCGGTGACGCCATAAAAAGTTCACATCAGCAAACCACGAGGAAATGGGCGAAGAAGCAAAATTTTCACTGCAAACGCTTTATCCGCACTGCCCAGCACAAAACCGCGCCTGACCGCGCAAACTGCATTGACTATATACGGAAACGTGTTGCAAGGAAAAGCTCAGCTCGCCTATGATCTGACCATCGCATTAAGACTAAAAAGAAATGCAAAAAATTGGCTCATTTCCATTCAAGCTTGGATGGAAGTGCGAAAAAAAAACAAGGTCATGAAATGAAAATGGAATTTAAAAATAAGACTGTGGGGAAAGGTTCATTGCCAAGTTCTGCGAAGGCTACAAGCTTAGACAGAGTCGGGTGTTGAAAGCCTCCGGGCAGGTCAGACAAACCTGTTGGAGGAGGCAACAAAGGCAAATTATCCAAAATGTCAGTTATTTATAGACGCACTTCCGGATTTCGACCCGGCAGAGCACGCGCGCTTGCCTCTGTTCAGTCAGACATACTTCCATCCACGCGGTCTCATCTTCACCGCCGATTTGACGCATCTTCAAAAGGTCACAAAGCATACCGATGCGGCCTAATAACCGCACACACTCACCCGGTGATTGGCCACACAGATGATCCTGGCGTAGCAGCAGATCATCAGCAGGATGAGTGTGAAGAGAGGCACGTACCATCTGCAATGTGACGTCAGAGAGAAAAAAAAAAACATGAGAGCATATCTGAACACCTTTAACCCACAATATTTGTTGGATCATTGCGTCTGATTTTTTTTTTTTTCATCAAATGGCCCTCTGAGGACAAATAGCCCCTGCTGGTTCCCCACCCTTGCTGTCATCCACAATAACCATACGGCCACGTATTTGAAATAAGCTCACGAGTGCGTGTGGTCTCTGCATAATGTTTTCCTGGGTTCCGCAGCACCCTGAGCTGAGTCTTCTCAGCTGTCTCGGGGTCGAGAAAAATGCTTGCTTGGTCTGTGCTTTTCCATCCTCCAATCGCTCATTGCGGTTCGCTGTGTCCCAGCGCCTCTTCCAAAGTCAAATTAAACACTTCCAAGATTGTTCTTAGCTCTGCATGTCTGAGGTAACTCACATTTTTGGGCAAAACAAATTAAAATTTCATTCTTCACAGAGACTTTTAGCTCAAATTCATTTCGAAACTTGGTCAATGTTTTGAGTCAAAATGACCACTTATCTATGAAAGAGGCATCTTTTGGGAGTGGCAAAAGACTGTAAAAAGTTGTGTTGTAGTACAGATATGAATGAAAAATATTTGCACTTGGATAAAGATTGACAATTTAGAAGAAATTAAACATCTGTACCATTATGGAGAAATTGCAATAAAATTAGGCAGACTGGGTGACAAGACAAGTCGCAGAGCTGCTTAAAACATGTACTTGGATGCACACAACATTGCGGAGGCACTGCAAGTCAAAAGTCTAGTAGGATGTTAATCGTGGTGACATCATTATTTGTGCGCATCGACGCCGTTGACAATATGCGGTAAGACTCCAGACTTGAATTCTTCACGGAACAAATACGTGCTTCTGTATCTAAACATGGACGCACACAATATTGTGGAAGCGACCACATGTTGAAGTCGCCAAACAATCATCTTTAACACTGAGTAAGGAACTCCTTTACAACATGAGGTAAGACTCGTGATGGGAAAATGAAGCTTCGAAAATGTGCCATGAACCACTTGTTTTTTTTTTTTTTTAATCCTCGGGATGGAACTGTTTTTTAAGACAAGGTTCAAGAAATGGAAGGTCAGTGTGCTTTCAGTCGCACGTTGAACAGAGAGTGCCATCTGGAGGACCTCAAAAAAATACATTTGATTCATGAAGCATCTTGAAGCTTCATTTTCCCATCATTCGGTAAGGCTCCACATTCATTCATCTAATATTAAGTGCAGCGGTAACGGAACGTGCCTTATTGTGCCACATGAAGTGTTCTTACGCTGCGACGCAAACTTACTCATTGTGCGCCAATTCATTATTTTGATCCAGTTATTGATCAAATACCTGCTGTGAATGTTGCTATTTTGTCAAGCAAAAAAGTATTAAAACACACACACACACACACACACACACACACACACACACACAAAATCAGTTGGATGTGCATTTAAAAGTTCACCTGCACAGATTATAGTGCATTTTAGGTTCATTCTGAAATGTCACCCTAAAGCCGAATATCCCTAACCTTTTGTAAGCAGTGAGTTTGATTTAATTTCTGCACCTCGCGAGCTTACGATGAATTCGCTCAGACAGCTATTTGTTCCAATGTCTTCTAAATGAAACTTTTGGACAGAAAATTCAAAGCACTTTTCAAACCCGAAAACGTATCATCAGAAACGAAGCATTTCGAAGACTTTCAAGCAGTCGTGGGAACCCTGCAAAGCTCTTCTTCTGACTGACCACTCGCAACGCTCTCATCCTTCATGCGTATAGGCCACCCTGGCTGGTTAATTAAGGTCGCCGAGGCTGTGTGTGTGACGCGCTTTCAGTGAGGCAAAACGCGGGCCGCAGAGAGACAAAAGTCGCCGGAAATGCACGCCGTTCCTGTGAGATGAAGCGCTGACAATCAAGGGGAGGTGCTGTGCAGCGAAAAAAAATGTCAGATATTTCTGACCGGATGAAAGAAAGTGAGGCAGGTGGGAGAAGCGAGGCGAGGGGAGGGTGGCGGGGTGGTGATGGCTTTGTTGGAATGGCAGCTTTGTGTTATGCAACCTCTCGGGAGGTGATGTAAGCTCGGAGGTGTTTCAACCTCTCCCTGTAATCACAAAACGGGGCCTTTGTCTTGCTTTGATAGGCAGGTTCGCGGATGCCGCTCGTCTGTTCTGCACAAGTGGGTTACCCAAAAAAAAAATACACGCTCACCCAAGGCAGTGTGAACATCCGGCCTGAGCTAAACAAAGCTTCGCGGCAAACATTTTCAGTAGGTTAACGAATTACACAATAAATTTAAAAGCTTCGGATACATTTGTAGACGTTTGAGTTTAATGCAGTGGAACCTCTGAAAACAAATTGTTGAAGGACGCTCACCAACCTCCAGTCTGGAAAGAATTTTTGCAACTGGAAAGAAATCAGACCCAGGGTCAAACTGTTACCAACACAAAACACAAAACATTCACAGCATGGCTGATTTTCTCTGTAATGTTTTCACATTCTTACTGATTGTGTAAGTGTAAAAAGAAGTTTAGCACAATCTAACGTAAAAACAAAACACCTTTCTGTCATATCTGCAAAATCCTTTTTCTTAGGCCTACACATAGCATGTTTCGAGCTGCAAAAATATATCCGCTGAAAGGCATTGTTCGCGAGTTAGTAGCAGATTTGCCTCCTTGGTAAGATTCCATTTTCAATGCCAGACTTCTCTGTCGCATCTTCATGCTTCAAACCTCATCCGTCATCCATTCCTTTTTCATAGCCTTCCACTTATCCTGTTCAGAGTCACGGTAAGCTCGAGCCTATCCCGACCGACTTTAGGTGAAAGGTAAACTACACCCTAGTCTGGTCTCCAATTACAGGGAGAAAAAAAAAAAAAGAGTATCTGGAGAGAACCCACACAAGTACGGGGAGACAAACTCCACACTGGGAGGGCGCAACCTGGATTTGAACCCCCAAACTCAGAATTGTGAGACAGATGTCCTAACCACAAGGTCAAAGGGCTGTCCATGGCAAAAACATGAACATTAAATGCTTTGGGAAGGTCTCGTGAGGTATGCAGAGGTCTCTCATGACATTCGAACATTACAGGACATCATCCACGGCGCCTTTCGGAATAAACCCAAAAACATGTTCATGCTCGCTGATCTGAGGCCAAGTGAGAAACGCGAATGAATGTCTGATTGGTACATTAATGGCGGCTTTTTCTCGTTCATTCAGCTTGAATTGGAAACTGGTCAATTTTAGGTGAGTTTGACTTTGAAATTCCGCTGTTTGAATAAAACTGAAACTGGCATTTAAAGCAACATCTACAAAAGGGTAAATATCCCCTCCCCCCCTTGGCATTCAAAAAAAAAAAAAACAATTCAAACAAAACTTTTCATTGGCGTCGGGAATCCGGGATGGTCGGCGGCGCTATTTTCGCAGCGGGATACGCGCTGCGGAGAAGCCACGCTGTTTTTATATGCGTTCCCTCAAGTCTGGTAGGAAACATCAATAAACAAAGAGGAGCCTCTTTGAAAACGCATGCGTGTGCGCGCGGGTGTGCGTACGCGGGTTCAATAATGGCATGGGACAATGATGAAAGCATTTCAAGGGAGGGGGAGGGGGGAG